AGTCTAACTTGTTAGATATTAGGATAGCCACACCTGCTTGCTTCTTGTGTCCATTTGATTGGAAGAAATTTTCCCTGCCTTTTATCTTAGACGTGTTTCTTGTATGCAGCAGAAGGATTGATTCTGCCTTCATATCTATTCTGTTAGCCTGTGTCTTTTTATAGTCTAGTTGAGACTGTTAATGTTGAGGGAAAGTAAGGACCATTGATTGTTAATGCTTGTTTGTTTTATATTTGTTGTTGGCGGTGGTATTGTGAATATATTTGCCCTGTTTTACCTTTGGGTTCTGGTGAAGTGGGATTATCTTTTTCTTATGTCTTCGTGAGCATAGTTAATTACCGTGCGTTGGAGTTTTCATGCCAGAACGTTCTGTGGGGCTGGATTTGTATATACATATTGTGAAAATCTGGCGTTGTCATTAAATATCATGTTTGCTCCGTCTATAGTGGTTGAAAGATTTGCTGTGTATAGTAGCTTGGGCTGACATCCGTGGACTCTTAGTCTTTGTAGAACATCTATTTAGGACATTCTGTCTTTGAGAGTTTCCATGGAGAAGTCAGGTGTAATTTTGATAGGTCTGCCTTTATATGTTACCTGTCTTTTCCTTCGCTGCTCTTAATATTTTTTCTTTAGTCTGTATGTTAAGTGTTTTCATTATTATGTGTCGAGAGGTCTTTTATCTTTGGTCTAGTCTATTTGGTGTTCAGTATGCTTCTTGTACATTCATGGGCATGTCCTTCTTCACATTGGGAAAGTTTTCTTCAATGATTTTGTTGAATATGTTTTCTGGACTTTTGAGCTGGGTTTCTTCACCTTCCTCTATGCCTATTATTCTTAGCTTTGGTCTTTTCAAGGTGTCCCCCATTTCCTGGATGTTTTGTGCTAAGGATTTGTTGGATTTACTATTTTCTTTGGTCAATGCTTCTATTTCCTGTAGTTTATCTTCAGTGCCTGAGATTCTCTCTTCCATCTCTTGTATTCTGTTGGTTATGCTTGTGTGTATAGTTCCTGATCGTTTGCCCGGTTTTTTTTTTTTTTTTTTTTTTTTTTTTTATTTCTAGCATTCCTTCAGTTTGTTGTCTCTGTTTCAGTTTTTCAAGTCTTGAACCATTTTCTTCACCTGTTTAATTGTTTTTTTCTTGTCTTTCATTACTTTCTTTAAGATATTTGTTCAATTCTAACCATTTTTTGTTTGTTTTTTCTTCCATTTCTTTAAGGGATTTTCTCACATCGTCTTTGAGGGCCTTTGTAATTTTATGAAGTTATTTGTTAAGTCGTTATCTTCTGCCTCATCTGCTTTGGGGTGTTCAGTTCTAGTTGGTGTAGAGTTCCTTGATTCTTGTGGTTTCATGCTTGTCTATTGTTAGGTGTTTTCTTGCATTGCTGTCTTCCCATCACTTCTTCCAGTAGGTGCATGTGGGGTCTCTCTTTCCCTCTGTGGTGCTCCCCTGGTAGGCTTAGGAGGGTCAGAAGTTTGATGTCTGTAGCTTTTGGTTGTCACAGCTCACTAGGAGGTCTCTCCTCATGCAGTGACCCTGTGATTGGTGTCAAAGTTCAAGCTTCAAAAGAGGCCCTATGAGGGGGGGTCAAATATCCAGCAGGCAGGGGCTTAGGATGGTCCCAAGGGGAGAACTCGGGAACTCCACCAGAGCACTGGTGGGGGGAGTCAGAGATCAGGCATGTAGGGATTCAGGGTGGTCCAATATGGATAGGCAGGGTTAGTGTGCTCAGAACAGCTCCAGGAATTTCCCCGCAGGTGGCAGGATTGTTGGTTCTGCCCTCTGTCTCAGTGCTCAATCCAAGAGGTAGGAAAGTTGGCAGGGTAGAGCAAAGGGTAGGGGGAAGGCAGGCTCTTGGTGGGAGTGGGTGGGTGTGTATCAGAGCACTCAGGATGTTTCCGTGCAGATAGGCAGATCTAGCTGGGGCCAGACACCTATACATTATATTTTAAATGAGCTGTATAACTATAATCCCTTAAACAAGAGTATAAATATACAGTATAATAATATTGACTTTAAATTTATATAAATAAACTAAAATCTATTCCAATTTAAGTATTTTGAGATTAACAGTTGATTTTAGATTAAAGTAGATTCACTAGTCTACCTTTTTCTCCATCATTTCTATATCATATCTCCCTTTCTTATTTTAGAAAGAGATTGACTATGACCAATAACAGCTTATAACCAAGACCCCTTAAATGAAAACAAGCATTCACAAACAATATTTTATGAATTTGGGTGTAATTTTCTAGACTACTTTTTTGATGATTGGTGGATCCTGGTATTCTTTGAGAGAACCTGAGAAAAATTTGAAATAATGGCCAAGTCCTGGGAATTCAGTTATATATTTATTGATAGAAACTATCTGTCCATAGAGCATGAGACTCTTAATGTCATGGTCATTGTTTGGTGCCCCACTTCAGGTGCCAGATAAAGTGATAATCCACTGAAGACTTTTTATTAAGGGATGAAATGGAAATTCAGAAGGTAGTCACACAGCTGCTGCCTCTTTGTCCACTAGGGAAAGATGGGGAAAACTCTGGACCAGATCACTGAGCTGTGGCATCAGAAGCCTTTCCTGTCCAAGAGAATACGTGGCCCCTGTCCTTATTTTTTATCTGATCATATACCCACAGTAGACCATGCCCATAAGGCCCATAAGGCTAATGCCTCCAATACCATTGGTTAAATGAACTGAATTCCTACAATGCTCCCTGTTCATTGTTCAATCCCAGTGAGCACCTATGGGCCAGTTTAATGGTTCTATTATTTTTCTTATGATGTCCTTGACTCTTTCAGCTCTTATAATCCTTGCTTCCTCTCTTCAGCAGGATTCCCTGACCATGACCTAATGTTTGGCTTTGACTCTCTGCAATAGTTTCCACCAGTTACCAGATGAATCTTCTTTAATAACAATTGGATCGGGCACCAATAAATGAGCAGAGAAGAAAATCATTAGGCATAATTACATTGACTTCTTTTTCTCCAGTCATCTTTGATTCTGTCCTAGTTGTCAGGGCCTCTGGGTTTTGGCACACTATGCAGTATCAAGGGTGTGCTCACTCTTGTGGCATGTGTCTGAGACTGGACCAGTCATTGTTCAGTCCTACAATCTCTGTGCCACCCTTATCCTAGCACATCCCATAGGCAGCGAAGTCTGAAGGTTATATGGTTGGATTCGTGTCCCAGACCCTCCACTGGAAGTCTTGCATGGTCACAGGAGATGGCCATTTTAGTCTACATATCCCCTATTGCTTAGATTCTTAGCTGAAGTCATCCATGTAGATTCCTGGAAGTTTCCATTGTGCCATGCTTCACTCTTACCTCAAAATACCCCTCCCTTTCTAGTTGACTCTTTCAGTACTCTCCACCTCTAAAACATCGTATGTACTCACTTATAAGTGAACATTAGCTTTGAAATAAAAATTAACCATTCTGCAATCAACAGACCCAAATAGATTAGGCATTTAGGAGGGCTCAAGGGGAGGATTCTCAGATATTATTTGTCAGTACCTTAATACTGTTATCTATGCCTTAACTATCCCTGCATGTATGATCATGCAAAGAAACAAATAACAAAAAACAAAATAAACCCTTTCATGCTTTGTCATATGCCAAGTGCTTGCTAACCTGCACTTAAGGAAAGTACCAAGGATATATAAATTATACACTAAGGTTACATAGATTAGTTACTGCCAGAATTTATAACAAACCCTATAATTGCTGGTGAAGTAGACATCGTGTAGAATGAGAAATAGGAAAGTAAAAATATAAATTATAGTAGTATATGATAAGTGTTCATGGCTGTACAAAGGATGATCAGGAGAACTCTTGACTTATAAAAATGATGTTTGGATATACAGTTAGCAAATATATACTTAAAAGGAATAAAGTGTATATCTTAAGCCACAGATATAAAAAGCAGCTTACAGATAAACCCTCTTGCATAGTTTGATCCTCATATGCCTTCTTTAGAATATCTGCTTTATTGGTAGATTCATTGTAAAAATAACAAATAGGAAAAGGCAAAGATAGTATGTCAAAATATATTGAGAATCATGAAGTCATAAAATCTGAATATAATTCTGTTTTTGTGGGTTTTAGTAATATGGACCTAGGAAGTTTACTGTGTATAATTGTCTTCATAATGCCATAAGCATCAAATATATTTGTACAAATATGTGATACACACACACACACACACACACACACACACACACACACACACACACATATATATATATATATATATATATATATATATATATATATATGTTGAATGCCCTCTTTTATTTGTTCTCATTTGATCGTGAACGCCAGAGGACAACGTCTAGAGTCAGGCTTCAGTATTCATCATTTCCCACCATAAAAAAAAAGATTTATTTATTTTATGTATGAGGTTCTAACCACATGTATATATACCTATACCTTTATGCCAGAAGAGAGCACCAGATCTAATTACAGATGCTTGTGAGCCACCATGTGGTTTCTGGAAATTTAACTCAGGACCTCTGGAACAGCAATCAGTGCTCTTAAATCATTGAACCATCTCTCCTGCCCCCCACTAGATTTTTGAGAAAAGGTCTATCTTTAAATTGAAATGTCGCCTAGTGGTATATACTAGTTACTCAATCAGCTGTAGGAAATAGTCTGTCTCTGTTTTCTAGCTTAACTGTGATTTGGGAACTTCCAAACTCAGATTCTTCTACTCACAAGTCAAATGAATAAATAATAGAATCAAGCTCTATAGTACCTTTCTAAGAGATGATTCTCTTTTGATATTAGAGAGTAAGAATAAAACATTTCTACCCATAGCACCAATAATAATTTAATAGAAACTCAAAATTTCTATCTCAGCAAGGAAATTATTTATTAATTATCAACCCAAAGCACATTGAATATTATAATGGGAAACAAAAATATGAAAAGAAATTTTATGATAAATTTCAACTGTTTTCTCTAGAGTAATATTTGCTGCCATCTTTCCTTTTATGCCAGTTGAAAGAATTCAGAATCAGTGGGATGAGGTACAGGAGCATCTTCAGATCCGGAGACAGCAGTTGAATGAAATGTTAAAGGATTCGACACAGTGGATAGAAGCGAAGGAAAAAGTTGAACAGTTCATAGGACAAGCCAAATCCAAGCTTGACTCATGGAAAGAGGTTTCTCACACGATGGATGAAATCCAGAAGAAGATCACAGAAACCAAGGTTAGTGTCAAACATCTTAAAAGTAAGTATTTGTTATAGCAAATAGTTATGCCACAGATAGAAATTGAATGGTCTTAATGACAAATTATGTTTAAATAAAAATACATAGTGGAATTTTTTATTTGTTTGATTTTGAGACAAAGTCTCAAACTCAACATCCTCCTTCAAGATTTAATTATGGGTGAATGCCACCACACATACCTGCTCAAATTTTTGAGACTTAATACATGGTAGAGGAAAACTTTAAAGTTAATTTTCATCTTTTAGTATGGACATGGTTTGTTTTTGTTCTGTTTTATTGAACCACGCTCTTAAGTAGCCTATTCTTCAGTCTAACACTCTCCCAACTGAGCTATTTTGGCTTTAAGTAGCCTATTCCTGACTTCCTTCCTGATCCTCCTGCCTACACCTCCTGAGTGATGAAATGACATGGATGTGTCATGCAACCCTGCTAACTCTCTGCTTGGGATTGGACTCAAGATTTCCTGAATGCTGGGAAAACACTCTATTAAGTGACCTACCCACCCCCATGAGCTGGATTTTACATTGCACCATTATTTTAAGATCACTTCAAAGAAATGATATGCATACCACACTTTTGTGGTAGCATAAATTTAAAATAACATTTGTCATTAATGTCTTCCTAGAAAAAGTAACAGATCTTATCCTTCACTCTCTTACCTTACCAAGAGCTCTAACTAGAGAAGGGAATGAAAGAGTATCAGAGAAAGTATAAGGATTAAACATTCTCTCATGTTCTTCTCCTACTCTCTGACATTAGCACAGCATTTTCTATGCCTCCTAGTTCTCCTTCTCTGTTTCTCCTCTTATTTCTATTAAAATAGTTTCCACTTGATAATTCAATACTCACTGCTAAAAGGGCAAAGAAATAAAGTGTATTGATTTTATCAAATACCATGCATGAAGCTATGATGGCTTCAAATGTTGAAAGTATACACATTTGATGCTTTCAAATGTTGCATTTATAGGACATCTGAAGCGTTAAATGCTAAACAGTAGATACTGTTAGGAAAATTTAAACCATCAAAATAATGAGATTTGGAAGGTGACATGATTGAGTACATAATACAAAACTCTCTACTTTGTTTTTAATCTAGCAGAAAAGGCTTTCCTCCAAGCAAGGATATGAATCTGACATATTTTATATCATATAAGAAGAAAATCCATATAATTTTCTTAGTTTTTTTTTTTATTCCTAAAATATCTCATTCTTAAGCCTGTTTATATTTTGTTAAGTTTCATTAAGAAATGAAACCTAAAATATCAACAGTTTGTTCAATATATTGAGTTTTATAGCCAAGCCTAGGAATTCTACCATGTCTCATTGACCAGAACTTTCTCCAAGTTAATTTCAAAGAGACTAAATGGGATTAATAAACTTTTAGCCAATCTTCATCATAGCTACATTGTTAAAGGATCTAAGATGCTGTGAAGATCTTCACATATACCCACAATTATATAAGGGCATATAGATTTTAAGACTAATCACAACCTTTGTTATTGTAACTTCCTGGCATGGCAGCACAAGTAATTTCCTAATAATTATTTTCTTAATTCCTGGCCTGACTATTTGAAATGCAATCCACATGGTTAATCTGTTCTCTTTTTATTATTCTTTCATATATTACATTCTAAGCACAGTTTCCCCTCTCTCATCTCCTCCCAGTCCCCCTTCCATTCCTCTCTTTCCCAGATCAACTCCTTCATTTCCCTTCAGAAAAAGGATCCAACATTTCTCTTCAGAAAAAGACATCTCCTATCATATCTACACAAAAAAAAGGAGATGATGGGAGATGTTATTCTGTATGATTAATGAATAAAGCACTGTTGGCCAATAGGAAAGGAGATAAGAGGGACTAGGAGACAAGGAGGAAAGAGGAAGTAGTAAGGAAGAGTCCACATGGAGAGTCTGGAGAGAACAGAACCGCCATTCCTCCGCTCTCGGTAAGACCTCGTGGAAATACATAGAAATGGGTTAATAATTAAGATAGAGCTAGCCGAGAAGAAACTAGTAACAGGCCAACAGGATTATATCAAACACAGAGTCTCTGTGTGTTAGCGGTGGGCAGAAAAAAACGTACTCCTTACAAATATGGAAGAGGGGAAATAAAACAGTCTAATTGTCCAACAGTTGTTTTCCTACATCTAAAACAAGGATTTTTATTATAATTACTATCTTTGTAAATGGTTTTAAAATGGCTTTGAATACTCTTGAGTATTGCATAAAAATGACTTGGCCATTATAGTTTATAAACTTAATGATAGGCATGGCTGTTACAATACATGTTTAAGATTATAAGGCAGATGATAATGATGTCCAAATTTTAAATTTCCCACTCTCCATCTCTCCTGGATAATATCCATGAATACTAAAACAATCCTATTACTGATAATAAAGTTGAATGTTTGTTGTGTGCTAAAAGAGTGCTAGTCATTTTACATGCATTGTTTTGTTTGGTTATCTCAGCCATTACTTATGAAAAGTGCCCCTTTTTAATTGTACATAGAAACTTTGTTTGATAGGAATAGGGATTTGGAAAGGTGAAATTAAAGCAATTATTCTTGTAGATGACATCACAAATTTTTTCTTCTACCTACTGTCTGTGAGGATTAAATAAATTGATAAAATATAATAAGGCTATGAAATAGACAAGAGTAATTATCAACTGACAAATATGATTATATCATAAATAATCCAATTGGCTGAAAAAGAGAGTAAATATGTAGTGCAATATGGAAACCTTTTTACAGTATTTTCTTCTTTGAAAAGCTGAAGATAATTGTAATTTATATTCTATTTAGATGAAATTACTATTTTTAATTTTTTGCAAACTTAGGGAACAAATAATGGAGATATCTGCTTTTCATGGCTGAATGTCTTCTCACTAAGTGAGCAATATTGGCAGGTTTATCATTTACAATTTTCTTTAAGAAAAAAGTTTGGAAATAGACACTAAAAGACATTGGATAACATGACCTGCACCCCCTCCTCATAAATTATTGCTATATATTTGTGTGCCCATTATTGCCAATAGAACCTCCTATGGCACTAATCAGAGTTTGAGAGCCATAGTTACTGCAGTCAGCCTCCCTTCCTCTCTCATACCTGTTGAAACCTCAAACTTATCTTAGTAAACAAGATTGGTTTCAAATGCTAACACAACTCTGTGATCTTTTTACTACTATTAATCAATTACCGTACTTAAATTCTAATGATTTAGGTCCTGAGCAATCTGTATGTGTTAATGATCATAATCTTTAGTCCTCATCTCAAATCTCTTCTAGCTGTTATCTATACATATTTTAATTTTTTCAAATAATGTCTATATATTTTTAAAACCAACTTTTTAAAAGTTGGTTTTAAAAAGTGCTCTTTTAAATGAGACAGCTGTTATAGGGGATAATACACAAGATACTGCACTAATCAAAATCCCCAACAATAAGCCATAGCAGAATACTATTAGTGATGATGCCATTTAGGACTTTCAATATAATCAAAAGAAGTATGTCATTGGCATCTGAATTGCCAGCACTGATCATCCTAGGATTTATTTCATTTGGTACCATCTTGGCTAAGTTTATAGCCTGTGCAACAGGGTAAGATTGGTCCAAACTTGGCAAGAAGTTCTTTGAGAAATAAATTATTTCTTGATCATTTTGAACTTTATTTTCCCCAGTGACAAGAGAGATGTGGCCAGGCTCATAGTTTTCATGTATTTTTCTCCTTTCAGGCTTTGAAAAAGGAATTCCTTTTTTGTCTGCTCTGTGATTGCTTTTGTGTCAAACTCAGCATAAAAGCTTTTCAAACATGATGGCATTAGCTCTTTTGTGTTTGGCTAAGCTATGAGTACATGAACATGAATTCAATAGAGAAGTGAAATCTTGTTTGAGCCTAGCTGGTTTTGCTATTTAATACCTGAAACAATTTCAAGTGAGGAATCTAATAATTTTACATATTATCAAATAAACATTGTCAAGGCTGAAAAAAAGAAATTGTGTTTTAAATATATCCTTTACTGGACCACATATACAATGTATTTATAATTAATTTTCAAAATTAAACCCCCTCTCTATCTTTAAAGTAGGTACATTGGCTAATTGAGGTTCAAAAATTATTTTAGTGGGAAGAAAGAAGTCAAGGATTTTCTTAGATAAACATGAATGGTACAATATTATTTTATGTGGAGGAGGTAAAATTTACATACCAGACAGTATCCTGTATGCATTATAGATATGTATAATGTTAGAAACAGACTTATTTTATGCATGTTAAGCATACACATTTTGATAAATATGTGTATACTTTTAGTTATATAAAGTTATTTCTGCAAATTGACTCAAACTAGTAGTTTGAAGGTTTGATTTCTAATCTAATAATGAAAAACTTTGTCTGAAATCTTGTTTTCAGAGCCTACCATTTGGTCATACATTTAAAAATCCCACCATTGTTCTCCCAATAAAGCTGCCACATGAGTAAGAAAAATCAATACATTAATAGTACTTTTCTTCTTAAAGCAGTGAGAAGCTACTCAACTTCAAACTTATGGTCTATACATTATATCAAAGATAGAAGATATGTAGTAAAATGATACTTTCCCCTGATACTCACACATATATTTAAGGCAGAGATACCATGTCTTGCATGCCTTTATGCTGTCATCACACCATTATTTCTCCTAGGTTTCTCTTCATAGCTTAATTTATTTGGCATTTGAAAATATGTGGTGATGAATCTAGAAATCCATTCCTCCACAAAAAACAAAAACAAAAAACAAATTCTGTCAAACAATTTTCAAATTCTCTTTGCTGAAACTAGAATCTCTGAAGTGTTATACTTCCACAAGAAGAGAAAAATATGAGGCTTTTTATATTTCCTGTCATTTTCTTCCAGCTTCACAGTAGTCCTGAAGATCAGTGGACTTGGAGCCACTGGTACTTATGAAAACTATCAGTCTCCTCGCCCTCAAGATTGTCAGGAT